CTCGACCTGCTGGGCTCCGGCGATTCTTCCGCCTCAGCCTTCCAAGTAGCTGGAACTACAGGTGCGCACTACCATGCCCGGCTAATTTTTGATTTATTGGAGAGATGAGGTCTCGCCAAGTAGCCCGGGCGGGTCTTGAACCCATGGGCTCAGTCAATCCACTCATCTCGGCCTCCCAAAGTGCTGGGATTACAGGTTGAGCCACCGAGCCTGGCCTGAGTCCAAACTCCTCAGCTGTCAGTGTCCTTCAGGATTTAGCCCAGCCTTCTCCCCTAAGGCACCTACACTCCAGCAATCCTGAAAAGCTTTCCTAATCTGATGTGCCATTTTCAAACTTCTGTGCCTTTGAATGTACATTTCCCTCTGTCTAGAATACACTTCTCAAGGCAAACTCCTAGTCACACATTAACAGCTAACTCAGAAGTCTGGGAAGCCATACTTCCAACACTCCAGCCTTCTTTTTCTCAGAGCACTTCACACATCCCTCCTGCGTAGCACTGGTATAGCCTCTGTATTATTGCCCAATTTCTTCCCATTATTCGGATGAAGAGTTACTAGAGGTAGGGATCATGTGAATCTTGGCATATGCTCAATAAACATTTTGTGAGTAAACGACTGCATGAGAGATTTTAAAGAAGGCTAAAAAGTGACAAAAGCAAAAGCAGACAACAGATATTTTCTGTTATTCAAATAACCTATTTTCTCAACTCTAATCTTTGGTTGAGGATTACTTATGAACTAGATTGCTTCATCGCTTTCTAGCTGTGTGTCCTTGGGCAGGTTAACTAATTTCTGTATACCTGAAGTTTCCTCACTGGTTAAAAAGAAAAAATAACCACTTGTGCACTATAGTTATAAGGATTACAGTTAAAGTATGTAAAAAACAAAAAAGAAAACAGAGTTCAATGGTAGTTCTACTAGTCTGTTAAAAACACAAAAATCTTGACAGACTATTGTACCATCAGGAATGTGATCACAATGAAATTTTAGTTGGAACCATTTTTTTTTTTTAAAGGAGTGTTGAAAATCAAAAAATACAATAGCTTGGCAGCTGCATTCTGTTTGCCCTTTATTCAATACCAATCCCTTAATGACTACCATCTCCCTTGGCTCCTTTATAATGTGCACTCCCAGTCCTCTGGTCTCTCTGACCACATTTCCTCTGTCCTCTTCTGTAACTTGCCCTTTATTGACACCTAAAGGCAGGCATTCCTCAGGCTCAGTTCTCAAATCTTTTCTCATCTTATCCACTCTCAAGGTTTCAATTAATATCTCTATGGAGATGACCCCATGACCTCTGTCACATTCAGAAACCATATTTCAAAACTCAATTTATCCAAAATAGACATCTGCTATCTTAGTTTAAGATGACCAAGCGTATAGCTTCAATTTCTCCTCTCTCATTCCTCTGCCTCCTCTCCACCGTTAAAGATCTTATCAGTCCTCAGGTTCCTCTTATTTTGCCAGTTACTTCTCTGGCCTTCTGTTCTACCTCAGTGGTTCCTAATATTTCTGGGATAATGGGCTCCTTTGAACATCTATTGAATGCTATGAATTATTTATCACAAAGATAAATATACCAAACAGGTACTTGCAATTTCACCTAACCAATGATCCAAACAAAAACTTGATACATATGTGTATATATATATATATATTTTTTTTTTTTTTCTTCTTCTTCTTCTTTTTTTTAATTGGAGTCTCACTCCGTCACCCAGGCTGGAGTGCAATGGCACACTCACGGCCACCCCAGCATCGACCTGCTGGGCTCCAACGATCCTTCTACCTCAGCCTTCCAAGGAGCTGGAACTACAGGCACCCGATTCCATGCCTGGCTAATTTTTTATTTATTGTAGAGATGAGCTGTTGTCAAGTTGTCAAGGTTGGTCTTGAACCCGCAGACTCAGGCAATCTACTCACCTTGGCTTTCCAAAGTGCTGGGATTACAGGTTGAGCCACCCAGTCCAGACAATAACTCAAGATTTTAACAACCATTTCCACAAATTTTCATTTCCCACTCTCATAATTCCAATGCCTTCTGGATACAGCCTGAATGGCCTACAGGTGTCAAACCTCCCAAGCCCAAACTAGATCTCACTATTTCTCCCTGACAAATCTGCTCTATTTTTTTTCTTGGACAATGGTACCGATTTCCTCCCAGACTGCCAAACTAGGAGTCTCAGAATGAACAATTATGCCCATAACCAATCAAGCACTAATTCTTGTCTGGTTCTACCTCAGAAATCCCTCTCAAATTCAAATTCCATCTTTCTTGGTCTCATCAACCTTTGCTTCTACCCCCACTTGCCATGATCCAGTCTTTCTACCACTCATTCTACAAGAACCCGTTACTGATTCTAACCATGCAAGGCTCCGTATCTCTATTTGCTCCCTTCCATTAGTTACAATAGCCTAATTGATTCCCCCACTCCAGTTCTTTTTCCTTCATTCCCAATGTTGACCTACCTCCTCCCAAAATTTCAAAATTGACCAGGTGACTGCCCTTTTCACAAATATTGATGCTTCCCCATAGCACAGACATTCAAACTCAGTTTTTCCTTTGGAGTCCTCTACAGTTTGCCATCTAAATACAGGATTAGATTCCACAGCTCAAGCTGTCACTTGTTCCTATTATCTGCATATCAAAATCACACCCACTCTTAAAGGCCCAACTCAAACCTTATTCTTCATCTTTATATCCTCTACATGTTTAGGAGGGCTCTAAATAAAACAGGCACAATTCTTAATGAAGCAATAAGGAAATGAAAAAAAGCTGGAAAATGGCTGGAAATCCTTAAATTCTCTGGAAGCATTAAGTTTTGTTTTTTTTTAAAAGATCACTGTTCAAATATTATCATTTCAACCAAGAAGTCCTCCATAAACCCAGCACTGTTAACCAACATTTAATAAATGCCAGTAGTGTGCAGTGTAGATTAAATTAATAGTAGGGTATATCATCAACCTGATAAATGGATATAATCTGGACCTAGGATTAGAATTCCAATTGTATTTGTAGGAATTGTATTACTTAGGAAAGGAAAATTACAGTAAGAGGACTCAGCATTTAAACTAGAGACTGAGGTCAAATAAGTATATAGCAGTGATAGAATTATTCCCCAGATCTATATCATCTTCAGACTAGTAAGAATCTTATCAGATAGGGAAAAATTGTATCAGATAGAAGGAGATCTTTTCAATGAGCATGTCCTAAACTTAAAGATTTTTTCCAGTCCATATTTTAGATAAGTTGATTTTTTTTTTAAAGGGGCCAAGGGATGTAATGGGCATTTCTGAGTCTTTCATAATGAGCCACATTTACTGGCTCACTTAGCAGGTGCAAAAGCGATAAGATATATGACAGAGAATGATACTACAGGCAATATTTTCTCTTCACTACCTCTTAGGGCCTTATTTATTTTAGGCTTGATCTAACTTAACTTCTCTTTTGGTTCCTAAGTCTATGAGTTCATGTTAATTTTCAAAGATGTATATTGTGAAGCATTTTGCTCCTAAAGAAAATAAAAATATTCAACATATAACTGAAGTCTTTCTAAAAAAATTTTAACTGGTCATTATAGTTAGCTAAGATACTTCGTAAAACATGCGTATGATTATAAAATTATAAAATTATGATCATTCACATTTGAATACACTTCTGAGAGACCAGCATTTACTTTAACAGCAAAAAACACTACATTTCTTAAATTATTAGTAACACTAGGGAACGCAGAGGGTTTTCCTGAAAACTGCTGTATTTCAAGTAGGAGCTCAGTCTACAATTTTTAAGTCTGACTCTAATTCTATGACCTTAGGAATGAATTCACTTAATCTCGAAATACTTTCTCACCTGAAAACAGGACTAAAATCATCTTTTTCTTCTTCAATGTGGCTGTTCAAATAAAAGGAAATAATGTATGTAGCACAGAGTACTTGCCACAAAGCGCTCAATAAACTAGTTTACTTCCTTCACTCAACACAAAAGATACGCTCACAAGAAGATTCACATTTAAGGACATGTATTTCCACAAGTCTTCCTCAGCAGAAAACGCTACAACTAGTTCGTTCTATTAAAAACAATATCGTCAGCATCATTCCACGAACTTTTCTGAGGAACCTGAATCAAAATGAAGGAGCCTGCATGTGATTCTGCAAGAATTCCACTAAGGCTGCACATATGCACTGACCACTAAAACACTAACAGGAAAAGTCCATAGTAATTGGGCTAAAACGTCTAGACGCATTTATGCTGGTAAGAGAGCTCACTTGAGGTAAAGGAAAAAAAAAAAAGTTCAATTAGGCCCAACTCAAGTCAGATCTTTAATAAATCAAGAGAGTGATGCTGGCTTATCTTCCTGAAACGCCAACAGTATGATATTGAAACCCATTTTAGAAGAAAAATTTCAAGATTAAAATATTCCACAGGCATTCCTGGTGTCACTAACGCTTTTTAGAAAGCCTGCGCGAAGAGCAGCACCATTAGCACCACTGAAGATATTTAATGAAAGCCGTTGGCGGTAAACAGGCGAAGGGAGAAAAATTATTTCGGTGTTCTGCACACGCCGAGGCGAACCACTTTCAAGATCACGGCAGCCGCCGCTGCCACCGAGAAGCATCTGATGGAATTCCCAATTTCACAAAAGGATGTCAAAAAGAAGACCATGATGCTGGTAAATTGGGGGGTGGGGACATTTCCGTTCCCTTCTCGAGGGTCCGGGCTTTAAAGTCTGCGCCGCGCCCGGGTCTGGGGATCTCCCGGTCCCGGCCTCCGCCCCTCGCGTCCCTCCCCGCGGCGAGTGGCTGCCGGCCCGGGAAGCACCGCGAGCAATACCTAAACCTCGACAGGCCCGGGGCCTGCCCGGAGCCCCCAGCGTGCGGACCGCGGCGAAACCCGGGTTCGGGGTCGTGGCCGGGCGGAAGGCCGAGGGGCTGGCGAGGCCGCGGCTGGGGCCGCTGCGGCCCGGGTCGCTGGGGTCCGGGCGTGGCTGGGCGTGGACACTCACCACACCATGCCGTAGGCGCCCTCGCCGATGTACGAGAGGTTGGTGTAGCGCGGCCCCACATCGAACACCTGCCCGCGGACCATCTCCGGGCCCGCGCCCGCCGCCGCCGCCGCCGCCGCCGCCGCCATGTTGGCTGCCGGGCCGCCGCCGCCTCCGCCGCGCTGGGCTCGACACTCGGTGGCCGCCGCTCCGCTCCTGCCGCGCCTCCCGAAGGGACCGCGCCGCCGCCGGTGCAACCGCTGCCGCTGACCAGGGAGAAGGAAGGAGGGCGACGCGCAGAAGAGCTACAGAACCCACAACCTCCCAGACCGACTGCCCAACTGACTGACGGGCGGGCCGGCGGGGGAGGGCGGAGGGAAGGAGAGAGGGCGGGGCGCGCGCCGAGGAGGGCGCCGGGGCGGGGCCGAGGAGCGTGCATGGGGATTGGCTCTCCGGGACTGGGGGCGGGGTCGCGCGGGCCGGCGGAAGCGGTGAGCTCGGAACTGGGCGCTCAGAGGCGCGGAGGAGGTGCCGGTTGTGGTCACGTGCGTTCGCTGGGTCTTCGGCGCGGGAGGCGGTTCTTGAGACCCCGGTGGTGGAGGCGTCAGGGCACAGCCCACCCGGCTGACTAACCTGAGAGACGGTCCTGGCAAGGGCGAGCCCCGAAGCAGGGCCTGAACAGAGCCAGCGCGCAACATGGGACTGCCCTCGAGGCCCGACGATGCGCCATACACAGGCCTTTGCGAATCCGTGGCCCGCCCACCAATGAATTTAGAAGCCTCGAAACTCCGACAGAAACCAAAAGACATGACCGAGACCTAGAGAGACATTTGCATACTGACAGTGTGAAACAAATCTCGAGACCAAAACGAGAGACTGAGACCACCCGCCAATCGGTGGTTAGTTTAATAAACATTCGTTGACCACCCCCTATGTTCCTGAGGATCCACCCTTATGGAAGTAAACTTCTGGAGATAGGAGACAGACATAGTACTCAAACTGTGTCAAGTGCTAGGAAGAAGCACAACGTAGAGAGATTAGGGAGTAGTGGGTTTAAAACACTTGAGAAAGACATTTGCATTGAGAAATTGAGAGTACATTCTGAAATATAAACGCAAAGATGGAATCGCTAAAACCAAAACATCAAGGTTAGAGAAAAAGAGAGAGACTCGTTGTGGCTCAGAAATAATAACAAACAACAGAGGTTGAAAAATAAGAATTGGAATTCTGAAGCAGGTGAGATACCAAGTAAAACTAAGACAATGAGGTAAAAGTCGATTCAGCCACTGCCTCTGAACCATTTCCCCATGCCATCTCTGTAGGGGCAAGGAAGAGTGGCAGATCGTACGGCCTCATTGTCCATCTTAAAAGCCATCGACTCCGGACTTACAGACATCAACAAAGATCAACAACTAGTCAAACCTCAAAGAAGAATAGACAAGGTTTTTTGGGTTTTTTAAAAACCCTATAGGAGGTGGGTTCAGTGGCTCTCGGTCTGTAATCCCAGCAGCTCTGGAGCTGAGACTGAGACAGGAGGATTGCTTGATGCTAGGAGTTCAAGACCAGCCTATGCAGCATGACAAGATCCTGTCTCAAAACAAAAAACCAACAAATCTGTGAGGGAAAAATATGGGACACATGAGAAATAGAATAACATGCTATGGCCAAAATTGCTACTTCAAAATATATTTAGTCCCTGAAGCAGATCCCAAGTTTAGAAAACACTTAATTCTTAGATTAAAAGAGTACATTACATCTTTTTTAAAAAATGGGCCAAGATTAATGGAGAGTACCATGAAATAAAAAGAGCAAAGGTAGAAGTGGTAAAAAATACACATGATGATGCAGAAGAGCAAATTAGCAATATAGAATATAAACATGAGAAAAAAATTTAAGAATATGGAACAGTGATGGAATTCCTTAAGAGAGAAGATAATGGAGATGGAGAGCATCATGGGGATTTGAACCATAAATGTCTTCCAAAGGAAGTTTCCTATAAACATGAATAGTATCCAGTGAGGGGAAGAAAAAGTTACTTGTAAAAAGGCTAAAGATGGGCTTTCTTTAGATTTCTTCTCTGAAACACTTAAGTGCCAAAGCAAAATGGAAAAAGACTGACAGCACTCCTAAGGGGTAGGGGTAGGTTTGACTCTCCTTGAGTTATTTAGTTCACTCCAATAGTTAATTCATCCCAGATATATATATATTTAAGTTCTCACTATGTTGCTCAGACTGGAATTGAACTCCTGGGCTCAAGTGATTCTCTCACCTCAGCTTCCTGAGTAGCTGGAACTACAGGTGTATACCACTGCTCCCAGATCTTTATTGCTCAGAAGATCTCAACTGAATTGAAGGTCAGTGTGTTCACTTGTGCACTGGCCAGCTACGTGTGACATCCCATAGGTGATTCAATGCCACACACCCAAGCTGCCAATGGTTAACTGCATGAGTTGTGCACTGAGACTTTGACTCTTGGCTGCTGCATTTACCAACTGTGTGACTTTGGCCTCAATTTCCTTAGACTTAAAACAGGGATCACAATAGTACCTACCTCATCAGTTTGTTGGACAGAATAAATAAAGCAACATATGTGAAAAGCCTGGCACATAGTATGTTACATACTCACTAAATGCTATCTGTTGTAATAATCTACCCCACCCAAACCTGTTCTTCATCTTGTGTCTGTGGATAGCATCACCTTCACCCAGATACTCAAACTGGGAATTTGGCTATGATCTTTATCTTTAACAAGGCATTTTACCTTAGTCTCTGCCTCCACACTCCGTCCATCCAATCACAGACTCCTATAAATTCTATTTCTTTAATATTTCAGAAATCTTTGCTACTCAAAGTGTGATCTCCAGATGGGCAACATCAGCATTCTCTGGGAATTTGTTAGAAATGCAGCACCTCAGGCCCACCCCAGACCTACTTAATCAAGGTCTGCATCTTAAGATACCTAGGTGGTTTGCATACATAGTCCATTTTGAGAAGCACTGATTTAAATGTAATCACTTCATCCCCACTGCCACTCCACTGGTTAAAGCCTGCTGTGTCAACCAACCAAAGCTACCAATAACCTTAATTAACTCTTTTGCTTTCAGTGTGCCCATCTCCAATTGCTTCTCCTTTTATGCCCAGATCAATCTTTCCATAACAAATCTGACCAAGTCCCTCTGCTTCTTAAGTAAGTGGCTCCTTCTTATACTCAGAGTGAGGCCCTTTGTTGACCACTTCTTCACCCTCATCTCCTCTCCTTTACTTGCCTCTACGCACCAGCCATACTCTCAGTTCTCTCTTGTCTTTTGGTCTTATCATGTATCGGTCTCTCTTCCTATAACATGTTCTCTCTCTCCTATTCCAATATTTGCAGGCATTTTAAAACTACCTCATAATGTCATGCAAAACTACATCATAGTGTCATGCATCTGACCACTGATTTTCTCCAGAGAATTCTGGCCTAGGTCCATAGGCACTAGGCAACCTTATGATTAGAGTTTGGCTTCACTTATGGTTTTCTGACAGGGAAAGTGCCCTGACCAGAGGACATCCCCATTTGGGTCCTATGGCAACTACTGTTCATTCTAAGATGAGTCTCTGCTGAGTCAGGTTGGCATGAGCCAGGCCCAGAGGGAGCAATCATCTAGCTATACTGACAACAACAAAGTTCTGGAAACATAAAGCAGAGAACCAGGCTCTGGAACACTGTAAGACTATACTTAAGCTACCATCTAAACATAAGTCTGGCTACCTCAATGTCTTCTTTGTCTCTATAAGGTGGCAACAATTCACAGATCTGCAGAATCTTAGAAAACAATGGGTATCTGTTATTTTTGCCTGCCTAGCATTGACTCCTCCTCCTTTTGGTAGCAGCAACCCAATTTTTCTTTGGTGGACTGTCCCTCTGCATTCTCATGTGGTTTGAAGGCCTGGCCCCACCCACAAGTTCCAAGAGTAAGCATGTGACCTAGGCCTCCCTAATCAGAATCACACATGTTGGGTTAAAGGATGAACATGTGACCTGATCCAAGCCAATGCCAACTCAGACTTCTGCAGAAACTATCAGGAAAGAGGCGCTTCCTTTCTGCTTGGTTGCTAGGGCAGTGCCAAACATCCCATGATGTGAGAAATGCCCTCTGAAAGTGAAAGCAAGACTGGGAAAGCAGAGATGGAGACAATTTTCTGATGCCATAGTTTGAGGCTGTATTCAGCTGAGCCAGGACTTTATGTTTCTGTCTCTTGAAACCATAAGAATTCTGACTAATGCACTATCCAATTAACTCCCTTTTTTGCAAAAATTGCTCAGAATTATACAATAAATTACTGAGAAATGAATCAGAAACTCATGAATGATGAAATGAGAGAAAAGAACTGGCAATGAGCCTTGAAACTAGCTAAAGATAGAGAGATAACTGAATAAAAACACCACTAGGTAGAGACTGTTTGATACTGATAAGTTGAAATAATTGTTGCTATGGTAACAAACAAAATGCAAAAGAAAACAAATTGAGAAAGAGGATCTTTAAAAATAGGGTTTTAACCTCAGATTATGCAGTAAAAACCAGGGAGGATTAAAGAGGCTAGAAAAAGCAAGACACTAAATTTTTGTTTTATGTAAAATGAGGATAAAAGTTATTTTAAAAAATAGTGTAATTTCACCCAAAGCCTTTAAGACAGCAGAGAAAAAATTTTTAAAAATTATTTTAAAAAGTAAAAATAAAATTAGTATATTTTCAGGCTGGGCATGGTGACTCAAGCCTGTAATCCCAGCACTTTGGTAGGACAAGGAGAGAGGACTGTCTGAGCTCGGGGGTTCGAGAACAGCCTGTGCAACTTGGTAAGACTTCATCTCTACAATAAAAAAAAAAATTAGCCAGGCATGGTAGTGCACACCTGTAGTTCCAGTACTTGGAAGGCTGAGGTGGAAGGGTTGCCTGAGCCCAGCAGGTCAAAGCTGCAGTGGCTGTGAGCGTACCACTGTACTCCAGCTGGGCGACAGAGTGAAACTTTGACTCAAAACAAAACAAAACAAAACCCAAGTATAATTTCATATAATTTTGAGGTATAAAAAGGTTTCTTTTTTTTTTTTTTTTTG